CTACAAAAATGCCTTCATCCAGGAGAAATATGATCATGCCTTTGGCTTTTATAAAATCATTGATTTAAGAAACATCAACTCTAAGAGTATTTTTATATATTCTGCTAAAAAAATCAAAGGCATTATCTGCTATGTTATCTGATGTCCTTTATATGATGATCTATATGATAAATAACCTTGAAAAGTCAGTGGCTGGAAAGAACAGCACTTTTCTTCATAAATAGTTATGATTCCTTTATTCCAACAACAGGAATTTTCGCCTTGGTTGCCTTGAAGATTAACCAAATTTTTTTTTCAATTTCAATAAATAACCTATTCCTAGTGCCTAATTTCTCTTTCTCTTATTTTAAAGCTGTAATTTTTTACATGTTTTTTAATTATGTCACAGTAAAATATGTCACCTTAAATATGTTTAAATATGTTTTATATGTAGTAGGCAGAATTACTATACTGAACCTGTGGTCCTACAAAGTATTCTGAAACAAGAACAGTGTGACCTAGAGCAGCATTTATTGATCTGGAATGTGCAGAGGAATCACTTAGGGGTCTTAATAAAATGTAGATTCTGATAGAGAAGATCTTAGTTGGAGCCAGAAGTTCCACATTTCCAACAGGCTCCCAGATAAGGTCACTCCTGCTGGTCCTCCGACCACACTTTTAGGAGGCAGGACCTGAACAATGTTCCCACCCAGGCATGAATGGAAAGTCAATACAGGAGAGAAAATGAATATTAGAGCCCAAAGAGATGATAAACCTCAAAATGATGAGTACCAGAAACCAGAGCAAATGGGTTAGTCATATTTCTATTTCAAGCTTTCAAAATCAAAATGTCTTAAATCCAGTAACAGTATTAATTTAATTTTTTATAACAAATCTCCAGTTCACGTTTTTCAAAGAAGTTGATTCTAACTCATGTGTTAGACATTCTACCATATACACCTGAATAAAAGCCTGGTTGATACATTTCAAATATCCCTATTATTTTGAATCTTTTAGGGGAAATAGAACAAGAAAAGAACACTCATTGAAAACTTGGGAAGAAAAGTTTCCATTTATTGAAATGTTTACTAAATACCTATAATACTCTAGCACTACTTTGAGGCCTCAACATACAGTTGCTTTTCTCTTCTAATTATTTTATGTTGGCTTTGTTCTTGATTTTTCATGTTTATTATCTTTGGGGGCAATTACTGCATAACTTTGGGAATTATGCTTTAATTAGGGAATAAGTGAATGAATCTGCATTATTTAAAGAAAGTTTATCAACTGTATTTTGGTTAAGGGAACATTTGAACATCAACTATTTGCACATTTAAGTTAGTTTAAATTTTCTTTCTTTCCATCTTATTTCCAATTAAAAGTATTCCTTTGGCATGGGATGCTGCATACCGATAATTTCTAAAATTCTTCACAGTAAAGAAAAGACCTATTTTTTTCCAATGGTGTTCACTCTTTAATAGATTCTCATATTGCCATTGTTACATGTATGTTTCCTCCACATAGTTTCATGGATGCAGTAGGCAAAAAACTGTATTTTGGTGAAAGCTAAAATTAACCAATTATCTAACATACATAAAAAACGATCTGAATCATCACATAAGTACATTTAACTCTTTGTTTTTTTCTCAGAGGATTTAAAGCCAAACGTACTAGTTTTCTATTGCTGCTGTAACAAATTATGATAAATGTGGTGGCTCAAACCATACCGATTTATTATTTTATAATTCTGGAGGTCAGAAGTCCCAAATGAGTCTCACTAAAATCAACATGTCTGCAGAGCTACATTCCTTCTCAAGTCTCTGGAGATTTCCTTGACCTTCCTATATTCCTTGGCTCTTGGCCCCTTCCTCCATCTTCAAAGCCAGAAATGTTGCCTCTCTCTTTCTTCCAGTCACTTCTTCCTCCAACTGACTCTGCACTTCTGCCTACCACCACTTTTAAGAACCCTTGTGATTGGATTACATTGGACCCACAGGAATAATCTGAAATAATCTCCCTATTTTAAGGTCTGCTGATTAGCAACCTTAATTTCCCTTTGCCATGTAACCTAACATATTCACAGGTTCCAGCAATTAGGATGCAGACATTTTGGGGGCCCATTATTCTGCCTCCCACACCAAGACAGTGCTCCATTTCCATTCATTATCTTGAATTTTCTTGAAGCACTTTAGGTCTCCACAGTTTTGAATGCTAGAACAAGAAGCTCTTGGGGATAACAGTGTAAGATGATTGAGAGCAGTAACTTGGATTTCAGTTTTTAGCCATGAGATATGATTCTCTTGGAATGGCTCTCATACTCAAAGAAAGATATGGATATAGGTGGAATGGCCTCTGACACAGAACCATCCACTCCTGGGTGCATTAGCCTAAGAGTCCCTGACTTACATTCTGGTAAAATGATGCCATGAATATGGAATCAGACTGTGGCCACCAGGATAAATGTCCTGACTCTCTGCAGTCCAAGTTGGCTAGAAAAAGGTCAATCCTCTTTCAAAATTTCTCTGAGTTTAAAACCATTAAAATTGTCCAAGGTACTAAGTAATTAAGTTCATTGTTTTTTTAATGCAAAAAAAATGAAAAGTCAAATGGATAAATTACAGTAGCTTAATCTTTTCATGCCATTATGAGGACTAACAGGTTGGTTGGTTGACAGCTATACAAAGCTTAAGCTCTAAAGACTCTAAATCTCTAATAAAAGTCAATGACACATAGCATGAGTGTTTTTATGAACATGGTCCAGACATACTTTCTTACAAAAACTCTTGATTAAAGATAATTATTATATTTCCATCAGAAGCCACAGAGAGTAAAAAGTTTGAATGATTGGCTGTAGGCCCTATACCAGCTGAATCTAAACATGAAACAAAGTAAATGTTTTCAATTTGAATTTATGGCCTGAATTCTCTTAGGCAAAAGTATATTTGTGGTGATTATTCTTTAAAACAGGCAAGATTAGTCATCAAATGCTAAAATACAAACCGTGTGAAAGTTTAAGTACAGTCAACTTGGCTCTACTACAGTTTCATGTGATATCAAGGTTGTTTACTGTTTCTCGTGAGCCTTGTTTTTTAATGCGCAGTAAGCAAAGCCAATGTGAGTAGTCAACTCTCCTCAGTTAGCCAATAACCTCGATTTCTACCCCTCTCACCTGCTGACCCCTCCTTGCTCCCCTAAAACTATCTAATGCAAAGGTGATTCTGAGAACTGTTCATAGTTCCTAGGTCTCTTTCAGTATTTTAGCTCAACACTGCTCCTGAGGAACACAAAATTGCACCAGCTCTGAGTAAGACCTGACAGAGAAATGGGATAAGGTAGTAATCCAAGAGGAATTTTGTTCACACAGCCCCTAACAATATTCTGAAAAACCTATGCACATATTTTAAAAATAACACCTAAACACATTTAACATAAATTTCAACATTTGAAAAAGGGACATGATTTCGAACGTTCTGATACATATTTATCAGAACCTCGGGGCTACAGATTTCACCCATTCAATCTATGGAAAATGTCTGCTTTATAACATAATTGGCAAGGCCAATCCTCATTGACAGCCAATCAACCCAATAAGTCTTTCTGTCAAAACAAGTCTGACTTCATGTTACAGTCAAATATGAAGATAGTCTTGGTGACAATCATCTATCTTCTTCTGAATGCTAAAAGGAACAGATAAACATGGCACAGAGCTTTGTCATGGGCTGGTTCCTTGGACGAGGGGAGAAAGGAGACCTGGAAGGCAGCACCCATGTGTTGAGGCAGATCAGTTTCAAGATAGAGATGGAAGATGAGGATCTGAAAACTGAAACCCTTGACACCCTCTATGCCCTGGGAAATCTTGGTGCCCTGCAGTAAGGGCACAGTTTGGAAACTGCTATGAAAAAATACTTAAGTTCCCCTGAAAGTATCTAACATGATACAAATATAAGGTGGTATTTCTAAACAAAAAGACTCTGGCTGCATTTCTTTGAAGAATCCTAAACCTTTAGAAATATCTTAAAATTGGTATCCAGTTTTCTTGGTCAAAACAGAGGGTCAACAATTAGCTATTATAATGTTGCTTATGTAGCCAACCTTGTGTAGAATCCTGGACACACACTTCTGGTGTCCCAGGAATTGGTTCCACATTTTTCTCTAGTCTTTCTCTAATCTCCGTGCTTTTGTTCTAACCCTCTGCCCAGTCTTAGCCATCTTTTAGTGTGTGTTTGAACCAGTCTAAATTAGTCACCCTTCACCCTGAAGTTCCTGGTTTCCACCCCATGGCACTTCGGGGCCTTATGCTTATCGGGTGTTCTTATTTCTCTGGCCCTTCAGTGCTAGAGTGGATACACACACAAATATAAAACGAACCGAAAAACAGTTGCAACTGCCAAAGCTATTATGTTGTGCCAATAAAGAAGCTGCTTATGCAAACTACTGCAAATTTTCACATGGGAAGAAGAGTGTAAAATCACACTTGTAACGCAGTTTGAAAATCTCTCTCCCTTAATGTTTCTGGGAGGAAAGGTTGGAAGTAAATTACTGACAGTGGGCAAAGAACAGATGCAAAGAAGACAACTTTATTAGGCGCTTTCTCTTCTTTATGAGGAAATTTTGGTCCTTTCAGAGGAAGCTCCAAGTAATTCAAGAAACCCGTTTTCCTTCTGTTGCTGCAACTTGATCCCACGGTGGGTGCTCTGAAAGGCACCTTGGGGGCGAAGGGGTCTGAGGCCGTTCATGATCAAGGTCGTCCAATCCATTTGCTTAGTTGAGAATCTTTCCGTGTCACCTCTTAGAAGTAGGGCTGTGTTCCCCTCGAAATAGCCCACCTCCGCTGGCTGCGCCCTACCTCCGCCGGTGCCCCAGCGACCAGGCAACGCTGGATGCGAGGCAGCCAGGCCTCTGGACGCGACCGCCGGGGGAGAGGCGAGCGCGGAGTGGGAGCGGGCGGCGCGCGGGTGCTCTCCCCGCACGCACACAGGCTCGCGGGCAGGCAGACGGGGGAAGGGAGGGGGCCGCCTTACCAGATCAATGAACGTCAGGAACTTCCAGCTCCCGCCGTAGGTCTGATGCGAGGGCATTTCGATGGCCTTGTAGTTGCACAGGATGGAGCAGTAGGACAGCAGGATCGCCACCCGCAGCACCTGGCAGGGGACGAGCGCCATGTTCGCGCCGGGCCTGAGGCGGCTCGTCGGCGGGGAGGGACGCGGTTGGCGCGGGGCGCGCGGGGGGGCCGCGGGGGAAGCCGGGCGGGCGGCGGGACCGCGAGCGCGCGGGCGGCCTGCGCGGGCGGGGCGGCGTGTGCGGGCACCTCGGGCGGCCGCGGCCGTGCGGGCGGCGTGGCGTCAGCCGTTCCGTCACCTCCGTCATTCTCCTGCGTTCGCGGGGCCCCGGGAGACCCTGAGGGCGGGCGCAGGGCGCGCCGAGGTGGGAGAGCCCGCGCCGGCGGAGGGGCCCCGGGGCCGCAGACGCCTCCTCCGGCGGAGCCGCGGGACCCTGGCGGCCGAGCAGTAGGCTGCGCGGCGCAGGAGGGCTGGTGGAGACGTGAACGCGGGGTGCAAAAGGGCGCACCGCCAGCTTTCGAGTGACTTCGCTTTTGGACCCAACTGGATTTTTAGTGTTAAGGGGACTGATAATCACTATGAAATTCCCTTATAAATTCCATTCCAGTGGGTGCACCGCCTCGCAGTGTTCCACAGGAGGCTTATGATGTCAGTGTGCAATATAACAAGACGGACTATGAACTTTGGACAAGAGGTTTATAAATAAACGGTTATTAAGAAAGAAGTGCCAGATATCTGTTTCTGCTTCTAGAGTGCATTTGGCCCCAAAACAAATCATTCTGAGTTTGGATGTAAAAGCTGTGTGTGTAATTTAATACTAATCTTTTGAGTGTTAGACTGGTTTTGCCCTTTGTTTTTTTTTTCCTACAATACCAGGGCGTAGTGGAAGGAAAGTAAATACAAACTGGATTCCCTCTGCCTTCCAGTAAATGTTGTCACACTGAAGTTGCATCAGTCCGTGGGCAGCATTTTTTTTTTTAAATCATGGTCACATTTCAGCCAACCAGATGAGGGGTCAGATTATGAAAATAAAACATAGATATTTCCTGTGGATCCATTTAAAACAGGTGTCCTCCGCAAATAGTCTCGGAGTCAGAGAATGTGGAGTGAGGGGGCAGGAAAAGCAGAGTTGTAGAGGCAAAGCAGCAACTCATAAATGGTTTCCTGAATTTTTCCAAACAAGCTCTAAACCAAAATTAAGAAAACCGATAGATTTTTAAAATTGATCTTATAATTATGCTAGTAGAAATTAATGTCAGAAAAGTCAAGAACATTCTATGAGCATAAAACTATTCATTATTGAAGACTTGTGATTGCAATTTTATCTTCAGGTACAAGTTGAGTCTATGTTTTTAAATTGTGCATCCATGCTACATGTTCAAAAGATAACAAAATAAAAAATATATCTACTGAAGATCTATCTTGGCCCTTAATAAGGCTTTATGAGTTAATGTGATATTCTCAATATTTGATATACCCTTCCTACATTATATTTTAGATAATAATAAGACTCCCTGTCCCCATCATTATAAAATATAATGCTATTTTCATAAATCCACTTGAAGTTTTATTCTGTGGTCAGTTTCTTTTTAAATAAAAAACTATAGCACTCAAATAAATGTTTTGAACCAATTCTAATAAGTTGCCTTTTGTTATTTTGGGTTTGCTAACCATATAAGATAGTGAATTTTGTGGTTTTATGAAACATTCACATAAATTTAGACTGAAATACTTTATAATAATGATAGTCCACAAGTTTTGGAACTACTGGGGAACCATTAACATGGTTGTTCTTTCTGCTTTTTAAATCACATATAACTATCTTAGTTATGTTTAAAGGTATTCCTTGTTAAAAAGTGTTCATCTATGCACAGACTGTTTTTACAGTTCAGATAATACAGCAGGGGTATTGCTCTTAAACCTTCACTCAGTAGACAGTTACCTTTTTTATGAACTATATAGTACATTATTCATTGATAAGTATTTACATGATGGGTCTATATTTGGATTCGAGAATACTGTTTTTCATTGGATAGAAGAAATATCTTCATGTCACTTTTTAGCTTTTTCATTCTACCACACAGGAGTGGTGATGGAGGAGAATAGCCTCATCCCGTTGAGTTTCAGAACACCTGTTTCCCCAGGGAAAATTTCAAACCCTGTTTTAGCTTCTAGTTACACTAGTGTTCTTTGATTATTGTAGTAGCTCTTACTCTTTATCTGTAGTATATGGAGTGAAGATACTCTTCCTTTAGAACTTCCAAAAAGGGATACAGACTCCTCATTCTTATTTGTGTGTGTGAGGGAAAAGGTGTCCAACATATTTGTAATGATGATCTGTGCTGATTTTGGAAATGATGGGGACCCCTATGTCTCCCTGATGTTCTTTTCCAAGAAGCCAACTTTATATAGCCACGGGTCTTTGCTTAAAAATTCAGGAGGAAAAACTGTGTTTATGTATATCCTTACAATATTCACTTTTATGCATTTCTTTGGTTCTGGGTTTACACAAGATAAGCATTTTCTAAGAATTCAATTTATTTGGATTCAAATCATTTTTCCCCCTTCGCATTTGTCACAAGGATAGAATTTGGGGTGTGTCCCTTTGAGAAGTTTGGCATGGGGAAAAATCCCTTCAGTATCACAGAAAACACACCGTTGGGCTGCTTAGTTTTTCTTCATTATAAAAGTAGTGTCGTTTTGATATTGAAATAATAAAGTTTTTAAAAAATTTACTCTATTCTCATCAACCAGAGAAAACACTGCAAATATTTTAGCATAGACCTCCCAATCTTTTGGCAATAAGTACTTAGCTACAGTACATACTTACCTACTGTGTAACAATTTACATCAAGCAGATTTTTTTGCTTTAAATTTAGTAAGAACATTCCCTTATTATTTAAACCTCTGTCAAAATCATGTTTGATGAATGCATAGCATGGCATAATAAGAACATACCATATTTTACTTTAAAGTTTTCTCTACTTTCGGATATTTCGGTTGTTTCCAGTTTTTTTATCACTATAAATGCACTACAACGCCTGTGTTTTGAGTTGGGAAAGCCACCATTTAAGGTTTCTCTATTAGCTCAAAGCCGGTTAAGAAATCACCCTTTTATAATCTATGTATACATCTTCACATGTGTTTACATGAACAGAGGTGCCCAGGAGAGCTCTTCACTGGTCAGAGTTTTTTTGCTATTACAGGAGGATTTGTTGCTCTCCGGCTAAATGAGTAGCAGCTACCAGCAGTTATGCCACAGTTGCTGGTTGTCTAGTTTTTGCAGACTTAAAAATGGACTGTATTTGCTATAGAGAATTCTACTAAGTTATGGGATTTCAAACGCTAAGGATCCTATGGAGATTTATTGAAAAAGCTTTAGAGAAAGTAATGTCGAGATTAGGCGCAAGTCACCAGCTAGGTCACATACAGACCTGAGCTATCCCCCTCATTCCCTGAGATCTGTCAGTGCATGTGACAAAGCTCCTCATCCTGCTTGGAGTGATCTCCCTCTCTGTGCAGATACCCAGACACACCACATCTGGCTGGATTTGACATAAGTCCACTTTGACAATCCCTCTTTGCAATGGAGGATGTGGGTCTTCCCGCTCTGCATGATCCAGGTTGATGGCTTACTGGTGATTCAAATTCTACAAGTCCTCATTGTACTCAGATTTCCTTCTCTAAAACTACTCCGTCTACAGCATCTTCAGTCTCTGGAAACACACCCGAATGCTTTATTAGAAATATCAGAACAGAGCCAGATGGCCTGGGGTTGTTAGTCCCTTAATGGTGCTCAAACATCCCTGGAAGTGTGGCAAATTGAAGGCAATCTACTTCCCAGAATTCTTCTCAGGGAGGAGTCCGTGTTTGTTGGAAGACACATTCCCATAAACTACTTTGGTGGGTGCAGGGACAAGTGAGAGAGACCTCCTACAGCATTCTAGAATAACTGGAAATCATTGCTAAATTTCCTGTCCCCAGTGGGAGTGAGAGTAATTGTAGAGCTTCTCTTTAGCTGAGGGGACAGTATAAAGGACATTGGGACTAGAATTCAATTGCCCTGGGTGGTAAAGAAGAGGCAGACCGCCACCACCAGAGAGTTTCTTCTCCATAGCCTTCAACCTCTATTCTAAGTAAGTGTTGAACAGATATTTAAAAAATTTCAGAGGTCTTAAACTCAAATCCTGCAGAGACCAGGCATGCATCATAATTAAGTAAAGCTAGATGTAAGGTAATAGGGCATAATTTGACAGATAAAAACTAGAGTAAATGCCCTACCTAAATGCATTTTGATTCAAATTTTTTAAAATAGTGTCTGCTAATAAAAAGCACATTTCTGTGCCACTTTTGAACTATCCTTTTGAAAGAGTGCCATGCTCACATCTTACCCAGAGTGTTCAAAAAAACCCTGTCACTTATCTTTCTCACCTGTAAGGTTCAGATTACTTTGACTGTAATTGACAGCTCCATTCCTTGAAGCAGGTTGGAGGAAAATATGAAGATGGTTCAAAAGAGCACATGTACACGGTCCCTTAAGGATCATTCGCAGAAGAAGCTGCCGCACATTTCCACCTGCCCCTCACTGCCCGGCACTCTTCCATGTGCCAACGCAGGAAAAGCAGCCTCCATTCTGAGTGGCCATGTACTCAAGATCAGGGCTCCACTAGTATGGAAGGGGGATGCTATGGGATGAATTTGATACCCTCAAATGATATGTTGACATTCTTATCCCCCATGCCTCAGAAAGTGGCCTTATTTGGACATAGAGTCATTGCGGATATAATTAGTTAAGATGATGTCATAGGATAGGTCCTTAATCCAATATGACTGATGTCCTTTTAAGAAGACAGACATGCAGGGAAAATGCCCTGTGAAGATGGAAGCAGAAAATGACAAGCCAAGGAATGCCAGTGATGGCAGACTGTCACCAGAAGCTAGGAGAGGCCAGGAACCGATCCATCCTCACAGGCCTTGGAAGGAACCAACCCTGCTGACACCTCAATTTCCAGCCTCCAGGACTGTGAGGCCATAAATTTCCATTGTTTAACGATCCAGTTTGTGGTACTATGTTAATGGGATCTCTAGGAAACTAATACAGGGGAGAAAACAGATATTACTAGACCACTAAAAGTTTTACCACCACATCCAATCAGTAGTCAAATTTCAGTAATTTTTTTCTCTAAAACATTTCTCAAATCTGAGCCTTCATTTCTATTTC